GAGAATTACGTTAACACTAGGCCAAGAACAGTATCCGGCTCTATCTTACTTCTTATATAGACTCAATTAAGCCAAAAGAAAATAAAAAACTTGATAGATCGGTATAGAGTGGTTTGTTGAATTATCTTTCATACTGGTCCTGTTACTTTCTCTCGAGTGTATACGTATGTGTATGTGTGCGTGTTAGCGTCTATATGCAATACTGGTCCCAAATCACAGTTGTCAAAGGTTTAATCTCAGGTTCTGATCCCCAGGGAATAATGACCCAAGAGAAAGCCTTGACAGTAACTGCGTAAGTCCGTAAACAAGTATGGTTGAGATTTGAGTTTGTAAGCATGAAAATCAAGTTACGAAACCACTTGTCCTAATATTTCAGTCTAGGGTCATTAACGTTTCACCCTCCAAGGAAAGGCGAGACTGGGGTTGTGTAATCTGACATGTCTGGTTTGGTTGATGAACTCACTTTAACATGTTGGACGAATGTGAGTGAAGTTAGAACCAACACCAAGCCGACAAATTGAGTCGCCTTCTGACCAAGAAAATCCCAAGTCGCCTTCGAGTGAATTCAACCCATGAATTTCTTCATCACACATTTGCACATAATGGAGGTCAACTAAAAATGTGATTTCAGGTGATTTATCAAGAACGAGTAATTCTACGTATATACAGGTCTCTATGATTTCTCAGTTTGCTAGACATATAACTATTTCGAACTTAACACTTCGAATTGACCTGAAATACTCAAAAAAAGTTATATTTCATCTAATGATAGGGAATTTTACAATTCCTGAATTAACGATTGAGGGGACACCATTAAACCCTTGGTATGGAGCACCACTGGTTGGTCTGAGCATGATAAAATGAAGAGGTAACTTGTTTATACTAAAAGTTAGAACTGATACATGAATTTCAGGTTTCACTTAGGTTGTCAACTCACTAGTCCCAGCGGGAATCGAACTAGTTTTCGTTCTTGGGCAACAACCCTACTTATTTTGAATATAAGTAGTACATAATGTAGGCTGACTATGCTCCTATTCAATAAAGCCCGCACCATTAAGAGATCAGAGAAACTTAGCTAAACTCTCATTTTAGATGAGATGATATCGAGAAGTAAAATAGTTTCAGCCCTTAAACACTTCTGTATTATGTTTACAGTCACTTGTTATCATCTTTTTGACATTCTCCAGGCTTTGGAGCAATTGCATCTGGAGCTAGAACTGACAAACACCCGCTTGAACATCGCTACAGGAAAGCCGATAACCTTCAACTCGGACGCTATTTCAGGCGCAAGTCTGCTTTTCCCACTGACCAACCTTGTCATCTCCCAGCGTTTAGACCGAAGGAAACCGATTGCATCTATTCCACTTTCTACGTCGAACTCGAGTTTGCCCACCGTCAACGGCGGGCTTGGCCACACTTCGAACGGCATTCCATGCATTCAGGCCAACCCGTCCAGCTCTCTCACCAACCTTTCAATCCGCCACGACACTACCGGCGCCGTCGACATTGCCTCTGTCTTGAGGGAGGATGATCTAGAATCTGTCCTAAAGAAGCTGGAAAGGGAAGCCGACAAAGTCACAGATTGGCAACTTAAAGAACCCTTCAATATACCCCTTTACGTGAATGGGGGAGAACATTATCAGACGCCTTCTTGCTTGTCTAGAATGGCTGTTTCGTTGGACGACATGAGCATCGGTGAGGTGAGGAAGAGGATCAAATCGGAGGGGCTACAACGAGAACAGGAACAATGCCGGCTCGGTGTTACCAGCAATCTACAACGGGGTATGTCGAAATGCGTAAACAATTTTATGTGCTTCCTCCCCACATATTCACAAATGACAGACAACTTGAAGATATGAAGACCAAAATGGTGTGACCCCTAGTATGGCCGCAGTCTCCTCTTGATGTATAAAAATGGGTTGACTTCGTTTTCGCAACTTGATCTTGTTGTCAGGACTACTTAGTTGGACGTCTGGGAATGTACCAAGTCCATGGTCTGACGCCGGGACTTATAGTAGCTACTATGACAGAGGACTTTGGACACGGGGCTTCCAACTAAGTCGCCTTGACAACAAGACCAAGTTTAGAAAACTAGGTCAACCCAATTCAATAGACAGTTTGGCATGATGCTTGTGTGCGAGAGGACCATTTAATATGGACCTGTGTGTATGTATGTAATCTGCATGCTTGGACGTGTGTGTAGGTGTTTCCGGCCACATGGACAGACTTTGTTTCAAGTCATCGGGGAGGTAAGGGGACCATATAAGTCTATAAAAGTTGTTTGACCTCGTTCTCGCAACTCGGTCATATTGTCAGGAAGACTTAGAGGAACGCACCTTGTTCGGAGTCCATTATATGTATCATCGTTTGCAGAGTAGGACCGTGGACGTGGTACATTCTCAGACGTTTCGCCGGCATCGTAGTCGGCATCATCAGTGAGTCTCGCCATTCTTAGCACCATTCAACAACTCGTCAAAGAGGCAAGTGAAGCCGATTCTTTGACCAAACGTGTGCTAAACAGTTGTGGCATATCCCCTTCTGCCCTGGGCTATTCACATTTCCTATATCCTCCTATCGCACCTTCCCTGTCACAATTTTTCCCTTGCATATTTTGATGTATTGTGGTGTGCTTCTTCGAGTGGGATTCATGAAAACCCTTCACACTCCACACTGTCGTTATCACCCCCTTAACCCTTGTGCTGTGAATGTTGACCAGAGTCTGTCATGTTACGTAGTCCTTCCCTGGTTCCTATCAAAGTCTCCCTCTTGCCCCGTAAAATTCGTCTACTACACCACCACACAATCTTGGTCTTCATACCTTCAGATAAGTCTATGTGTACCATCGGATGTTGGCGTGTGATTAACTTTTAATCAGACTTGCCTAAAATTGTAAATGAAATACGTTCGGCATTTATCTTTATCTAGATAATTAAGTAAAATGACCGAATATTTGATAATTAATTAAGTTGAGTTTATTTAATCGGTAGATCGCTAAATCATTTTGGTGATTCCGAGTTAGTGTCAGCGCATGCTAACGTTTCAGCTAAATGAGCTACTCAAGCTCTTATTACTTAGTCCAGGCAGCAAACCTTAGTAAAAGTGCAGTTTTAAGACTAGGCGACATATCTATAAGTAGCATAAACTTCGTCTACTATATAATTTATTTACTATGGATTTTATGAGCAGATTCAATGACCTAAAAAGGTATGAAGACCAAGATGGTGTGGCCTTTTGTGTGGTCGCAGTCTCATATCGTTGTATAGAGATTATTTGACCTTATTTTCGCAACATGGTTATATTGGTAGGAAGACTTAGAGAAACGCACCTAGTCCGGAGTCCATTGTCTGCATGATCATTTCCAAAGTTGAACCGTAGACGTGGTACATTCCCAAACGTTTCGCCGGCGGGCCATTGTCTGCATGATCATTTCCAAAGTTGAACCGTGGACGTGGAACATTCCCAAACGTTTCGCCGGCATCGTTGGCATCGTCTTGAGTATCGTTATTCTTAGCACCACACGACAACTCGACTACGATGCTGGCGAAACGCTTGTGAATGTACCACGTCCATGATTCAACTTTGGAAATGATCATGCAGACAATGGACTCCTGACTAGGTGCGTTCCACTAAGTCTTCCTACCAATATGACTATGTTGCGAAAACAAGGTCAAACAACCTAATTATCGGAGAACTACAATCGCTCCAGGTCACATGAAGTTAAGGTCTGTCCAGTTGATGACTAGTACAAGAAACTGTAGGCTAACCGGGAGGCATCACTAAGTATACTACAATGAAATTCAACGTAAGGCCTTCTTATTTAATTGTGATAAATCCGATTTTAAACCCTCACACTACCTTGAACGACCTATGCTGATAGAAATAAACGTTAGTAGATCATCTTGAAAGTGTTCTAGTTTACATAGCTCACATAAAGTAACCAAGGGTGGATAGATGAATTTTCCCAAAATACTGTTTTTATTGAATTTCACTCGACCTTGCGTCTTAAAAGGCCATCCAGACTTGACCATAGATCCGACCTCGCCAGGGTGTCATCAGCATCTCCGACGGGAATCGAACTCGAGTATTGCACCGTATAATTTTGTCATTTTGGCCATTCTGCTTAGACCCAGATGAGGGCGAAAGTTCAATCCATTCTGGATGAAATTAGGCTTGGATATAAAAGGCTGTGTGAAATTTAATGGAAACGTAAAGCATTGTGGGAAAAAGTCAAATATCAATCTTTCATCAACCTAAACAAAATAAGGTGAATATATCTCATAAACTAAAAATAATGGATGTAGGAAATTGAGCTGGGACTATTTGTTTGGCTGTTCGGTGTGACTAAAGAGGTCCGGGAATCGCTAAACAAGTTAAGGAGGCCTAAATAGCCTCGATTATGATTGGCGCTCTCACACCTCACATAACTTGAATACACAATAAACAATGCAATATGCCACAATATGCTCCAAAATTGCAGAATATAACGCCTGTTTACTTAGGCTAGAAAATAGGTCTTACTACATCAACTTACTTTTCATGCATCAATCCCACCTATTTTCAAGAATGTGCGGAAAAGCATGAGGTATTCTACTTGAATTTGATTTCGATGCCATCCGTAGACCTGAATTAAGAGTCTTTGCTACCTCAGGACGTATCGCAAGCCGGAATCAAACCGGAATAGGGCAGCTTACAGACGCGAAATGTTTACGGTAGATGTGCTAATGAGACCTCGGCGAGGTCGTAACTGCAGTCCATCCTGAATGAGAACACTTGGGAAAGCACGGTTGAATGAAATGACTTATACATTGGGAGGCTTCTCATTTCATAGTTACAAAAATGCACTATTAGTCCTTCGTCATACAAAGCGAATTATGAAGAATACAGATCTTACTAGAAGTTTATGTTGTTGTCTCTATCATTTAACCTAGAAAGTTGTCAGATGTTCCTGCTATTCAACAGAGCGAAGTTCAGGTTCTTGAATAAAACCTATTCAGTCGAAATAATATCCACTTCGTTTTTATGCAACAAATTTACCCATCAGAGCTGGAACCCATTATTGCAACAGTAGATCACGAAGAATATCCAGCTCTATCCTACCTGCTACTTTTGTTCGAATGTGTGCTTGTGTGTGTTAACTTCTATTCGCAATACCGGTGCTAAATCAGAGTGATCTTAAAAGGCTAATGTCAGACTCTGGTCATCAAAGCTTAATGACCCAAGAAAATGCCCTGACCGAGACTGTGTAAGTCCGTAAGCAAGTATGGTTGAGATGAGATATGAGTTTGTAAGCATGTAAGTCAAGTTACGAAACCACTTATCATAACTTTTCAGTCTAGGGTCACTAAAGTTTAGCCACTCAAGAAAAGGCATGACTGGGGCCGCGTAACCTGGTACTTCTGGTTTGGTTGATGAGCTTGATCGAACATGCTGTACAAGTGCGAAGGAAGGTAGAACCATCAATGAGCAAACAGGCTGAGTCGCCTTCTTTTGGACATTATTTTAGCAACCTCGCTCTCTTCGATCTATCAATCAAGCATAAGTAATTACTGCTCAACTGTCTACCGGCGTTCCTCACATTCAATGTATCTTCTAAGCTATACGTTTCAATAGCCTCTCTCATCTTCCTGTTAACAGCAGACGTACCATCAACAAACCTACTAGTTTGAGAACATCCTATCTCATTGAAGATGTGAAGACCAAGATGTTGTGGCCTCTGGTATGGTCGCAGTCTTCTTTCGACTTA